TCATTTACATTTAATGTAATCATGAACATACTTAGATTATTACTTAATGTTTTGTAGTTATTTCCTAATCATTAAATATGTACTTTGTTTATTTTTCCCTCCTTTTTCTTCTTTCTTTTGGATTGAGTGTTTTTATAATTATGTTTTTTATGGTTACTTTTGGCTTACTATTTATACAACTGTCTAAAATGTTTTTAAGTTGTCCTAGGGTTTACAGTAGGCATCTTTAATAATTACTTCTATATTCAAATAATATGAGGGTACTTCAAAAAGTTCATAGAAAGATTTGTAGTATTTTTTAATTCTATTTTTCCATGAACTTTTAAAAGCATCTCATATTATATCACTTCAACGTGTAATGTAAAGGTCTCCCAACAGTATACTGACAACAATATACTTCCAATTTCTCTCTCCCTTCTTTTGTTTTTCATATATTTTTGCTAATGTTTTTATACACTTATTTTCACAAGTTCTATAACCACACAATAAATTGATATTACTTTTCTTCAGACAGTCAGTTATCTTTTTGGGCCAATTGAAATTAAAAAATAGTAAAATTTACTTTCATTTATGCCATTTCCAGTGCTTTTCATTTCTTTGTGTAGATCTAAGTTTTTGTCTTGTATAATTTCTTTCTTTCTCTCTTCCTTTTTTTTTTTTTTTTTTTCTGAAAAACTTGTGAAAGTTGTCACATTGAGATGGACTCACTTACGTCAATCCCAAATAAAATCTTGTCAAGAGGCTAAGAAGCAAGGCCCACATGCTGGCAGTAATGCAGTGTAAAATACAAGAGGGCAGGTTTGGGGTAGAGGGAGATCATTACACATGCAAAAGAGCTGGTAGAGGCAGAAGTGCTTAAGGAAACCATCCAACAGGCTGTACAGATGCCCTCCGCTCAGGCCCATCACATTTAATCTTAGTCAAAAGCTGAGAAGCGATTGGCCCTTTAGTCCTAAAGAGCCTTTAAAATTAAGACTGTGACTGATAATCTTGCAGACTGGAGTCTGTGGCAAAAAGATATAGCCATTTAGCAATGGTCCCCCGTTAGGATATGGACACAGCATTTATCTGACACAGATACTACGTATACCCCATTTAAGAGGTAACTACTGACCTGGTATTCAGTGTTAGGGGGCATTGAGATACTAACAAAGCAACAGCAGGTAATGCCCTGACATCCCTATCATGAGATGGGTAAAAAATAAAAACACTGACAAAGTATATTGTGCCCCAAAAGAAGTATTAGTGAAGGGTAACATCTACAGGAAAAAGTGTCTAGTCATCTTCCAAATGTGGCTATCTCAGATGTGGGGTCTATACCAGAGCTTCTTGGGGGCTTTGGTACACCAAGTTTCCTGAAGATGCCTGGACCTGATTCATGGACAGCTAGGTTAAAGGCTGATGGCATATACTGGGCCACTGCAGCTCTTCAACCTCAAAGAAATCTGTTTAAAACTGCATGTGAAAAAGGGAACTCTGCTCAAGGGGCAGAGTTATGGGCTGTGGTGTTTGCTCTGGAAAATACACCCTAAATTTTACCTTGTTATATTTTCACTGACTTGCGGGCAGTAGCCAATGGACTGGCAATGTGGTCTGTTGCCTGGCAGTGTGACAACTTGATGATTAAGTCTTGGTTTCTGTGGGATGAATATTATGGCAGCAGATTGCACAGTACCTACTGTTAGGTCGGCAAGACAAAGGGATGAAAGGACTCTGAACCAAACGTTTACCACGTCAGGGAGTTTATTTCTAGCAAACCTGGAGGGGAGACTGAAAGATCAGTTCCTGCCCATGTACAGACTAGTAGAGGTTCTATAGGGTTTGAATTAGGGGAAGGGGTTTGGTAGCTATTCTGAGCATTCAGCATTTTGCAATGGCTCTGTGGTTTTCCTGTTTTGCACAAAATCTGGTTTTTCTTGTAAAACACTTGCTTAAGAGAAAGGGAGGGGATGGGGGTTAGGTGAGGAAGCAGTTAACATGGCTGTGCTTATGCTAAGCTGATTGTGAGGGCTAATACCTACAACCCCTGTTCATGACTCATGTGGATGGCCATGAAAAAGGACCATTCAAGAAGGAACATCAGTGGAATCAACAAGTTAATCAGACCTGTGCTGCCCAGGTAAGAACCAGAGCCATGCAGATATACCATCACTCCAGACATAATAATTCATCTACAATTCAGGATTGAGCCCCAAAATAGGGCCTAGTGATTCTAGCACAGGAGGTGAAGGAAGCCTGGCAAGTGTGCCTGTCTGCCAGCTCCACGATTGACAAAGGGAACTCTAGGGCGCATACCCAGGGGTGCCATCCCTGTCTGCCCAGCAGATATGGGCCATACCTTTCAAGGACTCTTAGATGGACTATGTTACATATTTGGATTACCTCAACAAAGGTACTACCTTTATAATAAAAAATACTCAGGAGTGGAGAGTTACCTGAAACACTTGATGGACATTTCATGCCCAATATTATCTCCAGGCAATGGGTGCCATTGAAAGATGGTATGGACTCTTAGAATAAAAACTGAAAAGGACAACTGGACAACCAAGACTCAGCTTCCAGGGGAGTACACACTTAAGAAAGGCAGTTTGGGCTCTAACTGTTTGTGATTCCCCCAAAAAGTACCTCCTATTTAAATGGAATGTTTCATTATGAGGTTAATGAATGAGGGTGGAGGCCCAGACTTGCTGTAAGAGACTCAAGCCATGTGAATAATTTCTCTCACCCTACTTTTATTCCTCCCATGCCTCTCTTGGCAAATCACTACTGGAACTTGCAAGTTGTAAAATAGAGCAGGTGGTGGGAACTCTAACCTGGTGCTAATTTTGCTGCCTTTACGGATATTGATGATTATAAACATGACGTGACAACTCCTAAGGTGGTCCTGTTGCCATGGCCCACATGTCAGGGGGTCGAAGATATTCTAGGATGGTATAAGATATATAAGGAAGAAACTACTAGCCACCTATGGATGAATTTGGACATATGATGTGGGTAGGACATGGGTAGGATTGGAGAAAGAGTGAAATGATTGCTGCAGGGACTAGTCATATTGATCACTCAGCTGTGGAAGAAGAGTAACAACCTTAGGGGATGGGAATAGAATGCCTAAGACCACAAGAGGTCAGGGATGGCAAGAGGGGCCATTAATCTCTCTCAGCTTTTGTCTGCAGGGTATCTGGCCTATTTAACGCACACTGCTGCTACCATCATCAACATGACTGATGGCCAATGAAGAATCTTAATCTAAGAACTCTTAGAAACCTTCCGACAATTGCTGACTCCAGGAGTGAACAGCCTCCACTAGAGATGACAGAAGATTAACTTTTCAGACACAGATATAATTTTCTTAAGCCTCATCCTGTAATTGTTGAATTCACACATTCTCCACAGACTACAGCAATTGTTCTAAGTTTAAATGTTTGTTGAAACTTGATCCCACATCAGCAAAATGCTGCTGCTGAGATTGCTACGACTTCATATGTGAATGTCAGGCCTATACTTGCCTGCAACGTACAAACTAGTCTAAACTGTCTGTAGTGGTGATAAAAAGTTGCATTGCCCTAGACTTATAGATGGCCATTTGAAGTGGAGTATGTCCAGTTGTGAGCATCTTGCTGTATCTGGATTAATACACATTTAACTGATTTGGCCCTTGGTGGGGAGCCTGGCTACAGTCTGTATTCCAAGTGGGCTCGATTATCCTAGTGGGGGTCACAGTGATGGTCACTCTCACTCTGACGTTGCTTAAGACTGTATGTCCCACATGGACAGATTTGGTCTGAATTCCTAACAATAAAATTAAATAGAGTATCTGATGGGGTGGCCTATGTTTCTAAAAATAATTCTAAATTGGATATGAGAAAGTCTTTAACTGCAGCTAATATGAGTCTTGGCAGAACGCCTTGTGATTCTCCTGGAACACAAGAGCCTGGGAAGCTCGTGAGGAGCTGCTCTGATGCCATCTTCCATTTGTCTCCCTATGTTCCTTATGAGGGTTTGATTAGGCATGTGGCTTTCTGTCGGGCCCCTTCAGGGTGTAGCTGTAGAACAGAAAACTGCTCAACTGCAGTCTAGAATTGGCTCCTCAACAACGGGCTGCTTTGCCATCTGTAATGCAGTCATCTGGTCCCTTTTGTTTCAGTCTCATTTTGTGTAAGGACCAGGGGGAGCTGGAACCTTTCGCTACTTTTCCTTTTGCTGTGTGTGTGACTAATAAACTGTCAGAGTCTAAAAAGGGTTCATTGTTACTTAACCTGCCACATTTGTCAGGATTTTTCTTGGTTTATGCTTGACATCTATTACAACAGATTGGATGCAGAGGCAGATAGAAAATTCAGTTTCTTCTATTAACTTGGACACTAAAGAAATTTGCAAAAATGTAAAACAATGCCTCTTTTGTCTCTAAAATTTAAAAAGGAAAACAGATATTTTCATAAAAATATATTACTTATGTTAACAAGTTTATTATTGCTCTAAAAATGAATTAACATACAAATGGGATTCTCAGTAATTTTTAAGGGTGTAAAAGGATCATAACAATAAAAATTTTCTGAACCACTGCCTTGGAGAAGCTCTCCATGGCTGCGCAGGGAGACATATATAAGAATGTCCACTGGGAGTACTGGTCTATTTCTACATTAAATACCATACATCAGTGAAGACAAATGAATAGATCAGCGAATATCATTACAGAACTGTACAAAATGACCTAGTAGAAGTTTCTAAGTTATAAATCTATTTACATAATGTTTAAAAGCATGGAAAAACGACACCATACTCGTATTTTGCTTACGGGACCTGTGTTAACAAATGTTAAAAAAAGGAGCCCGAGAGGAAGTTAGCAGGTCAACAGAATCCTCTGCAGTCACTTCCTCATTTCCTGCTCTACTTGTCCCGCCCCGAGAACTACGCTTCCCGGCAGGCTGCGCGCCGCGCCGTGACGCACTTCCTCCAGACGCGCTTCCTTCCTCTGGCGCCACCACTCGCCGGCCGTGTGCAGCGCGATGCACTTCTAACCTCGCTTGCAATGGCCGCGCGGGCGCAGATGTGGGCCTCGCGGGAGCAGTTCCTGGCTTCTGCTGCAGACGGTGAGTCGGCGTGTGCAGCGCGATGCACTTCTAACCTCGCTTGCAATGGCCGGGCGGGCGCAGATGTGGGCCTCGCGGGAGCAGTTCCTGGCTTCTGCTGCAGACGGTGAGTCGGGACGGAGAGGCTAGGGCCGGCTTGGAGAAGGGTCAGGGCGGGAGGAGGGTGACCACCTTCCCCGTTCCGCGCTCCGACGCAGGCTTCAGGAGGGCGTTGGCTGTATCCCCAGGATGTGCGGGGGCTGGGCGTGTGAGGTGCAGACAACTTCTTGCGCTGCTCATCCTCTCCCGTGGGCAAGGCCGGGTTCCTCCCTCAGTGTCATGCACACTGGCCGTGGTGCTCACAGCCGCCTCCCCACTACTTCTCGCCCCGCCTCCTGCCGCGGGATCCGAGCTGCGCTGTCCACTCTGACAGTCACTGGCCATAAATGGTTACTGAGCATTTGAGATGTGTGCTGAGTGCGGCTGAAGAACTGCATTTTAAATTTTATTTACTATTAATTAATTTGTAGCTAAGTATTGAAGCGGTCTAAAATATTTTCCCGTTAGACACAGGTTTATTCGGAATTGGGATATGCTGTGTCAAGTATACATCTGATTTTGGAGATGGTTGGGAGAAAAGAATGTAAACTGTCTTTAACTTTTTAAGTTACTATGAGTTGAAATGATAATATTTTAGATATATTGGGATAAATAAAATGTTATTGAAATTAATCTTACCCTTTAAGAAACTTTTGGGGGGTGGCTACTAGGAAATTTAAAATTACATGTGTGGCTGGCACTGTGAATCACATTATAGTTCTCTTGGATGGCGTTGGATTCAATGCTGCCCTGCGGGAAAGGGTCTGGAGTACATCTGGCAGGGCCTTCCTGGGCTCCTGCGAAGGGCTTCCAAGAGGGACCTGATGTGCCTGGAGGGCATTTTTGTCCTGTACTGACGCAGGGGTCTATAATTGTAGCACATTGTGTATTTCTGTCCGGGATTCCTGCAGAATGGCTTTTCCAACCCCTGTTCCCTAGCCACCCATGGGCCTTTCTCAGGTGAGTCGTGCTGTAGAGAGGAGGGTAAGAACATTATCGGATAGTTTGGGGATGAGAATGGAGAAGCATGCATCCCTCACAACCACATGCCTGCTAAGGCATGTGTTTTCCTTCTTACCGAAATAAAGAAGATTCTCGTAGTTTTAGAAGTCATTTTATGTTTGCAGTTTTATGTTTGCAACTATAGATAGTAGTTTGTTCCAACCAATTATTAAAGAGGCATAGTTTCTTCACTGATTTGAAATACAGTATTTGCCATATGCTCTGACTAGGTCATCCTTCCTTCCAACCATTCATCCATCCATCTATCCACTCATCGGTCCATCCATACATCTGTCTTTCTTCCTTTGCAATGTGAATTGTAGATATGGTTAACCTGTGATTGACCTGTAGCATGAACAAGGAAAAAAAAGACCTTCATTGCTTTAAGCTACTGAGATTTTTAGACGCCATTTGTTACCAGAACATAACCCATTTGAACTGATAGTGATCTTTTTTCTTCATGTCGCTCTGAGAGCTCTAGCTTCTTTGGTGTGAATTCTAGATGTCTGATCACTCTGCTTTTTCATTCAGTCATTGGTACTATAAGTATTTATTGAGGCAGTCATTAAGTGAGGCTACTGGGAAACCAGAGTCTTGGATTCTATGCTTGGCTCTGCCATTTGAGAGTGACATGATTCTGTGGGTCAATGACCTAACTTCTTAGTTCTCTGTTCCCTCTTTTGTGGGATGGAAGTAAAAGTAGTATTCACCTCATGGCTTTGTCATGAAGATTAGTGAAACAGTAGACTTAGCACAGTGCTTGGCACATAGTACATGCTTAATCAGTGTTACCTACTGTTACTGGTAGTACTGGGAGTAGAACAGCTGTGTAAACTAAGTTATGCTGCAGTAACAAATAATCCTCAAATCTCAGCGACAATCTAACAACAGCAATCTAACCTTAACATTATCTTTAACCTTTACAGGTTGACTTTGGCTTTGTTTCATGTCCTTTTAGTCCATGACCATAGGTGAAAAAACCAGATCCTCTGTAGGGAAAGTAGCTCCTGTGACAGAGGGAAAAGAGCAAGAGAGATAGTGGAACCATGCAGTGGCTCTTAAAGTTGCTGTTCAGAAGAGGGACATCCATTTTTTTTTACATTTCATTGGCCAAGGCAAGTCACATGGCTGTGCCTGACGTTAATGGACAGGAAAGTATAACCCTCTCTGTAAGAAAGCAAATAATTGGGAATAATGCGATCATACTTCACCCTGCTTGCTATGAGGACAGAAATGCCTGAAGAATTGTATTAAGCACTGTTAGGGACATGTAGTTGGGGGAGTCCTGGAGAAAACGGGAAGATGAGATTTCAGGAAAGGACTATAAGAACGTGAAATTATGCCTGAGGTTTTTCATCTTTCTGTTCCAGCTTTTATAGATTAGCAAGAGCAGATTGGCATAATTTCAGGGTCAGAGTTTCTCTTCACCTCTCTCCTTACCTAAAAAGAGTCATAGCAAAAGGAGACTAACCTATGTATCCTCTTCTGGACTTTCTATTCTGTTCCATTAACTCATATTTTATATCTTAGAGGAGTATTCCTTTTTGTTTTCATAATTTTCTTGGCTATTTACATATATTTTCTTTAAAAGAAGAATTTTAGAATTATCAAGATCCATAAAAAATCTGTTACAATTTTGGTTGGTGTTGCATTGGATTTATTTAATTTGGAGGGAATTGGCTGATTTGCAGTATGATTTATTCGTCCAGAAGCATGGAATGTCTTCATTTACCCACATATCCTTTTTTTTTATTTTTTAAATAACAGGGAAATTTTTATTAGGATTGTATTAAATCCATAGATCAAATTGGTGAGATCTGATATCTTTATGATATGGAGCCTTTAGTTCATGTCGATGGTATGTTTTCTCATTTATTGAGGTCTTTTTTGATTTCTTTCCCTAACATTTTATAGTTTTCTGCATTGAGAGCTATATGATATTAATGCATATATCATCTGTAGTGGATGCCATGTACACCACCCAGTCCTCCCTCTGGGACTGGAGCACTCACTTTCTCAGCTGCTGGGAGTGATAGGGGTTGACAGCACTCAACTGAGTCTCTCCCTGGACCTTGCCCTCAGCTGAAGAGAGTCACCTGGCCTAAGGTCACACTCCATTCCAGGGAGCATTCAATGTTTGTTTGATATAAGAGTGTAAAAGCCTGATAAGCCCCCTTGGCCCAGTTTGGGACATCTCTGAAGGCCATTGTAACTTCAGAGCTCTCTATAGGATTGGCTGAGTCCTTGTTGCTGTGTTCACATATCCTTTTATTATCTTCAACTGCCTGAAGAAGCTTACATTCTAGAAGGAGGGACAGAAGAATAAACATCAATATGCAGTGTGGTGTGATTAAGATGAGACTGGATAGAAGAGCAAGTTACCGCCTCTGCCTGTGGCATTGGAGGATGAGTCAGGAGGGCTTCCTGGAGCAGGAAAACCTTGAGTTGGTCACAAAGGGGCAATAATCAGCAGTGGGTTGAGTCACTTGGGCTGAGACTCTAGTTAAGGACTCTGTGGTGCTTTAGGCTCTATCTGGCATTGTTTCTAACCTTGCTTGCCCTTCTCTGGGCCGTATTGTTGGAGGATTTTGACTCAGTCCAATAGGGAGACAGAAATGCACATTTCTGATAGGGTCATGTGGCACACACATATAGAAATGGAAGGTAGAGAGACAGCTTCCCAGAAGTCAGTGCAGGGTCTGGAGTAGTACTTAACTGGTGGGACTCAGGTCAAACTTCAATATTGTAGAAACTCCTTAGAGCACAGGGAATTGACTACAGTTGGAACCTAGGCCACTGGAATTAGAAAATGGGCATTGCATGCCTAAGAAGAGTCTGAGAATAGAAGTCCAGGTGCTGTGTCATTCTGGTCATGGCATCACTTGACCCTTCCATGAAGGGTTGGAAAAATGGCAGTGGTGGAGAGTTGAAGTCTCCATCTTAAAAGAAATAGTATGCTAACATAATGGGACTTTTCCAAAGTTGCTGTGTTGGTTGGTGCTGGCTGGCCCCTGAGAATAAGTGCTTAGGATTACTAGCTGGGGACCTGATCTTTTCCCTTCCCTCCTCTTCCCCTCTTCTCTCCCCTCTGGATGGCTAACAATGGCCAAAGCATGATGGAAAGAAGGGAGGGAGGATGTGCTAACATGTCCTGAGTAGGGTAACTGGCAGGAGTATAGGTGCCAGTTACAATGCATAGGTGGCATTGTGGCTGGGTACTGCTGATAGAGGGGAGCGTCTGGAGGCTAAGTGACTCCAGTGGGGGCCCTTTTTTCTCTGATACTGTTGTGAAGAAACTGCATGGTTCCTGGTCAGGGAACCAAGATGTTGCGGGAAACTGCAGGTTTCACCAGCTAAATCTGGGTTCTTGGTGTCTCAAACAAAGAATTGGACTAGGCACGCCAGAGATGAAAAGCAAAGGACAGTTTTATTTAGTAAAGAGAGTTCATTTCAGAGAGGATAGAGTGGGCTGGAGCGATAGTGTGGCTCAGCAGCCGCAGGTGAAATGCAGAGAGCAGTTTTACTTAGAAAGAAAGAGAATATACCTCATGGAGAGGATGAATGGGCTTGAGCAAGGGGTGGGGGTGGGGTGGGGGGTTAAGTCCCTCCTAGCTGAATTTGTGTCATTTGGTCATTGGTTGAGCCCTGGTAGTCTCTGTTGATTGGCACCTTAGCTGGTGGGAGCTCATTGGTTCGTATAACTTCGTATAATGTATGCTATACGAAGTTATTACGCTGTGGAAGAAGAGTAACAACCTTAGGGGATGGGAATAGAATGCCTAAGACCACAAGAGGTCAGGGATGGCAAGAGGGGCCATTAATCTCTCTCAGCTTTTGTCTGCAGGGTATCTGGCCTATTTAACGCACACTGCTGCTACCATCATCAACATGACTGATGGCCAATGAAGAATCTTAATCTAAGAACTCTTAGAAACCTTCCGACAATTGCTGACTCCAGGAGTGAACAGCCTCCACTAGAGATGACAGAAGATTAACTTTTCAGACAAGCCGAATGGTGCCCCACATGGGGGCAGATCTCCCTATCTGTCTTTATTTGCTGTGGCTGTGCATGCCTGCATCCTCAGGAAACTGGCCATACTGGCTATCCTACTCACAAACAACCATGCTTCCTCTTCTAGATCTTGTCCATATCTAACTTTCCCACAACAGTACCACCACCCAGGCAGGTGTGTATATATGTATGTTGCCAGGTTGAGAGTCTCGAGTGTTGGGGGAGACTTTGAGAATTCCCCAGTTGGGTATGTTATTCCCATTTGTGATTTCCCAGGTGTGGGGGTCAGATGGTGGTGCCTGTGGAGGTGGAGCTGGCGGGGAGGCTTCCACTGCCTGATCAGGCCCATTCTATTTCCTTGAAGCAAAAGCAGCAGCCTCTGGGTCCCATAGCTATAGTCTGTGTTTATGCTAAAAGCTCCCTTTGATAGACCAACAGATGGATTAGTGAGCTGTGCCCAGCAAGCAGTGCAAAGTTTAAGGAGCTAAGCAGAAAAGAGTTAACATAGTAGGTCCAAGACTGCTATCTTTAGGAAGGCCTCCTCGCAAGGTTAGCCTCTTGCTGGCATCTGGGAACTTGTCACTTAATCTGTTCCCTAACTAACAAGCATAGTTCACTGTGCCTTAACTGTGCATGCAGTGTGATTTATGCTGAACATCTGCTTTCCTTCTGGGACTCCGGAATTTTTATAGTTGTTACGCAGAGGTTGCCTACATGACCAGCCCCCAATAAAACCTTGGGCACCCTAGTCTTAATGGCTTTCCCTGAGCAGAAAAATTGCATGCATGTTACTGTTTTTTCATTGCTAGGAAGGGGAGCACATTCATTATCTCCTGGCATGGGAGGAGAGAATGAAAGGAAGCCCATGCATGTATTTTTCTAGATGCTGCCTGGGTCATTTTGGCCTGCTGATCATATTGCTTATCCTTTTGCTGTTATAAACCTTAGCCATGAGTACAACTATATGCTGAATCCCATGAGTCCTTCTAGTGGGAGTAGTCTTGGGGACCCTTGATATGGGGATCCAAGTAAGTATAATTTGGGTATCTGTGCTAGAGAAATTTGGAAGCCAGAGCATTTAGTGTCCAGCTGCTGGCTAGAGAGCTGTGCTTGAGCCAAGCTCTCAGCAGGGCCAGCCTTCACTGCTATTTTGAAGTGGGTAGACTTGAATCCCTAAACTTAAGGAAACAATGAAGGAGACACCAGACAGCTCAATGGAGGGGAGGATGCCAGTGGGAGGTAAGACTCCCTCATTACCTGTAGGGTCTATAGTAACCAGTACTCTATTGCCACGGATGTTCCCTTGCCCTAGTCTTGGAGACCCCTGCCACCACAGAGATCAGAGATCAAGTTCATGATTATACGAGAGGGAGGTCTCCATTCTGGTAAGTTATACTCGGGATCTGATAGGTGATGGGGTATTGAAGGGGAAGATGGAAATGGCTCTGACACTCTAGTGATGCCAAAATTCCTGTGGAAACAGGACTCCATTTGAAAGCCTAATTGTCAAACCTGAAATAGCAATTGTGTCTCTAGCTGTGAAAGGCACAGATCCTCCCTTGGTGCTTCATCTGAGGCTGGTAGACTGGAGTCCTGTGGAAGTCTTTCCTGTTGAGTCTTCAACTGCCAAGTCCCTGATGCAGTTGGTATCATCTAGGGCAAGCACCATGTGGCAGTCCCTTGCCAGCCCCTACCTTAGCACTGACCTAATGGGAATGTAGCACCCCAGAAAAGCAGTTCCCTTTGCCCCTGACTGGATATCCTACAGGATATCCAATAGGAGAGCTTGGAGCCCCTGGAAGAGGATATAGAGAAATGAGAACAATATGGGATTGGGACAGGTCCTCATCTGGGGAAAGATCAAGGGCTTTTCTTGATGGCCTGCCATGGTAGTGTTCTGGAAGGCCACCTTCAACTACCAGGCCATGTTTGACATGAGATGTGCCCAGTGGTTTGGGGATGATGAATTCTTCGAGGGCTCTCTGGACAAGCTGGTGGCCCAGGGTCTACTCAGCCTGTACTTTAACCTGGCTACCTTCAATAACCTGGTTTCTTGTAGGAAGGTCACGTACAAGGCCTTGGAGAAAGACAGGGTATGAATTGGCAGGCCCTTTCCAGAGTCTTGTTGGAGGATCAGTTGAAGTCCATGTTGGAGTGGGCCAATAGGGGCTTCAAGCCAACTGGGGTTGAGGGCCTCAAACCCAACAACAACAAACCAGCTGTTAAATTTAAGGTGTGTTGTGCAGGCAGGAAAACTTGGAATCAAAGAAATATGAGAATAAGACCTGAAGATACACAGCTGCCATTTCTGACTACCATCTCCCACCCAAATGCCAAAAGGTGAATTGCTACAATAATGGTAAAGATCTCAGGAAAGAAGATTAAGAGTCTAGAGCAAATGACTTTGGGTATAACAACAAGAACAGTCTAGAACAGGGCTTGGCAGACTTTTTCTGTTAAGGGCCAGATGTTAAATATTTTAGCTTTGTGGGCCATATGGTTCAATTCTGTGTGAAAGTAGCTAAAGACAGTAGATAAAAACAATAGGTAAATGAATGGGTGTTGCAGTGTTCCAATAAAACTTTATTTATGGGAATTGAAATTTGAGTTTCATATAATTTTCATGTGCCATGAAATATTCTGGTTTTCTTTTTCTTTTTTTTTTTAGCTATTTAAAAATGTAAAAACTATTCTTAGCTCATGGCTAGTATAAAAACAAGCGGTAGGCTGGATTTGGTCTGTGCATAGTTTGCCAGCCCCTGGTACAGTATAGCTATTTGTCCTTTGCTGAAGCACCTCTGTCTCCTTCCATCCACTCTTTGAGGGTGGGCTCTCCCTCTGCCTGATGTGCCAGGACCTGTTCAATTGGGTACCAAAGTTAAAGAAAGTAGAGACAGTAATCACCAAGTTGAACTTTAAAAGGAGTATAACTTTTCTGTGTTGTCATGAATGGCAAAGAAGATAAGATGTTTTGTAGTACACAGAGCTAGAAAGGATCTTTGACTTCACTGAATGCTACACAGATATGTCCAACATAGGCTGAGGTCCTGGAGTGTGCCTGTCATTTGACACCTCTTGCCTTCCTGAAGGACTTCTTTGCTCCACTGAAGGATTACTTTGCTTGTGAATGGTTCTATGCTGGGGAAAGGGGGTGGCATCTCAAAGTCAAGGCAGAACCAGGACTCAGGAGGTAGGATCCTTCAGCTCAGCTGTGTGAGGTTACCCTGTGTATCTCAGTTTTCCTGCCTATGCAGAGGGACAACCACCTGTCCCTCTCTGGCAGGGGGAGGCTCAGACAGTCTCTTTCACTGAACAGACTGAGGAACTGCCTCCTTAACTTGCATACTGCTTAGATCTATCCATTGGGAGTGGCCAAATGTGGTACTCATTTTTTCTTCTAAAACTTTCACCAGGGATGATATCATCATTACATTTGGGGTTTTTTTTTTTTTTTCCTCCAAAAAGATGGTGTATTCATTGTGCTAAGGGATCATGACATCCCATGATGAGAAAACAACATGAACAAAATACTGCTTAGATCTATCCATTGGGAGTGGCCAAATGTGGTACTCATTTTTTCTTCTAAAACTTTCACCAGGGATGATATCATCATTACATTTGGGGTTTTTTTTTTTGCACACCCAAGGTCAAGGCCACCCTTAGCTAAATCCCTCCCGGTGATTGCACTGAAACCATCTGGGGTGCCCAAGAAGAGACTGGCCAAATTATAAGCCTTCATGTATTTTATAGACAAGTATTCCTTATCAGTATGTCCCCCTCTTACTCACTGATATAAAGGGTGACTAGGAGGAAGCTTAGGGCTGCCATTGAGACCCTCCTTCCCCAGTGATGCATTCCCTTCACCAGACTTCTCCTTCTGCAAAGGCACTGATCCCAGGTTAGAAACACGGCACCCCAGTTCCTTTTCTGAACTCTCAGAAGCAGTGACATCCAGAGATCAGAAGCACATTCTTTTTGTTTCCCTTCTTCAAAGGTATGTCAGGGAAAGCTTGAGCTTCCCTTCAGAGATGTTAAAATCTTGCCTTTTAAAATTCCATACTAATTTGTTTTTAAGAGGAATGGGAGTCTAGCAAGCTGCAGGTTAGAAATGTTGTAATGGTCTTCAATAATCACAGGCTTCTGTTTCTGTGTTTAACGTTTTCGTAAACTTAAACTTTTTTTTTTTCTTTTTGTAACTGGAGCCATGTAACAAGTATGGGGAAAAGACTGCCTTGTCTCAACAGTTTTGCTAATTTTTAGGGTGGAAGAATGATGGGTGCTTAGAATTTACCTAATTACATTTAATTAAGATAGGTATTTTTCTAAAAACATAATGGGAAAGAGGTGTAGACCATGGAGAAGTTAACTCAAGTGTAAGACAAGAAGTGAGAGGAGCTGAATGCCTGGGTGGGGGAGAAGGCACAAGTGGCCAGAGCTGAAGCTCAGAAGGGTTCTCAGGGATCATCATGATAGGCCTGGTAGGCCAGGGTTCTTAAGGCTGCTTATTTCTTTCCTCAGCTCTGCATTCCAAGGACTCTGCCTGCCCCTGGGAGGAGGAGAAGCCCAGATATCTGGTGAGTAGGGGCCAGTTTCTTTTTTCTGAAATGCTGGTGCATTTCCCAGAGAATCGGTACATCTTCTCTCTTTCTTGGGAAGGGAGGAAGGGATCAACATTTAGATATGTCATGCCTTGTGTTAGCCCTTGTGCTAGGCATTTTATAATGGTTTCTATAATTAATCTCTTTAGTTTTTGAGCTTATAGAAAACATAACCAAATTTAATATTAGGAATTCAGGGTATTCTAAAACATAACAGCAACTTTTTGTAAAAACCTGGAGTTAGTAAAAGCATAAAGTGCACTATTAAAATTTCCTACATCAACATTCACACAAATAATTATATTACCTTAATAGTATCTAATAGTCTGATCTTGTACATTGGACTTCTTTTTTAACTTTCTGTTATGGAAAATTTCAAACATATGCAAAATCAGAAAAAGTGTTAATAAACTCTTATGTATGTGTCATCTCACTTTAGCAATTATCAACTCATGGTCAATTTTGTTTCATTTCCACCCCACTAGATTATTTTAAAGAAATTCCACTGCATCATACCACTTAATCTATAAATATTTCAGTCCTGTGTTTAAATCCTTAAAATAGCTATAGGAGATGTGTGGTGGTATTCCCATTTGAGAGAAGAGATCTTCTGGCTTAGAGGAATTATATAACTTGCTCACAGGCACATGTGGGTGGCCAGATAGTAGAGCCAGAAATTAAACCCAGATTTCTCTGATTCAGAAACCATGAATTTTCTGTGGTGCTGTCTTGACTGTTTTTTCCTCCTAGAAAAGTACTCAATGATAAAAGAACAAATTTTCCAACTCTAGGAAATGAGATTATATTTTTGGATGAAGAGCCCCATGGAGAATTCACTTTGTAGTTGTGATGTTGAATATACACCCTCCAAAACTTCTTTATCCTAGACATTTAATTTATTGATTCCTGGGTGCGGGACTGTGTGAGATACTACTATGGGCCAGCCAAACAAAATTGTAAGTACACTGTGCTTATTCTCAAAGAGCCAAGATTCTTTGGGAAATAATGTATAGAAACAGGAAATGATGATACTGGTAGTAATCATGTGAAGACAATTAAAACTATAAAACAGTGCAGTGGAAACTAGACCCCTATCTCTCACCATATACAAAAGTCAACTTGAGGTGGATTAAAGACTTAAATTTAAGACCTGAACCCATAAAACTACTAGAAGAAAACATAGGAGAAACTCTTGAAGACATTAGTTTGGGTAAAAATTTTATGGAGAAGACTTCTAAAGGACAGGCAAATAAAGCAAAAATAGACAGATGGGACTACATCAGACTGAAAAGTTTCTGCACAGCAGAGGAACCAATAGTGTGAAGAAGCAGCCTGCAGAATGGGAGAAAATATTTGCAAACTTGCATCTGACAAGGGATTAATATCCAGAATATATAAGCAACTCAGACAGCTCAATAGTGAAAAAAATAAATAATCTGATTAAAAAACGGGCAAATGACCTGAATAGACATTTCTCAAAATAAGACATGCAGATGGCCAACAGGCATATGAAAAAATGCACAACATCTCTAATCATCAGAGAAATGCAAATCAAAATCACATTAAGATACCATTTCACCCCAGTTAGGGTGGATATTTTCAAAAAGACAAAAGAAAAAAAGAGTTGGTGAGGATGTGGGGAAAGGGAACACTTGTACACTGTTGGTGGGAGTGTAAACTAGTAGAGCCATTGTGGAAGACAGTATGGAGGATCCTCAAAAAACTGAAAATAGAACTACCATATGATCCTACAATCCCACTACTGGGTATTTATCCAAAGGACAGGAAATTAATATGCCAAAGAGATACCTGTACCCCCATGTTTATTGTAGCACTATTTACAATAACCAAGGTGCGGAATCAATCTAAGTGTCCATTAACAGATGAATGGATAAAGAAAATATGGTATATACTCACAGTGGAATACTACTCAGCCATGAAAAAGAATGAAATCATGTCATTTGCGGCAATATGGATGTTCCTACATGACAGTTAAGTGAAATAAGTCAAGCACAGGAAGATAAGTACTGCATGTTCTCAGTTGTATGTGGGAGCTAAAAAAAAGTTGAGCTCATAGAAGCAGAGAGTAGAATTGAGATTACTAGAGTCTAGGAATAGTACAGGGAAAAGGAGATAGGAAGAGGTTGGTTAACAGATATAGAATTACAGCTAGATAGGAAGAATAAGTTCTAATGTTCTACAGTGGTGCTAGGTGTCTATAATTAGCAATAATTTATTGTATATTTTCAGATGGCTAGTAGAGAGGATTTCAGATGTCCTCATCACAAAGAAATGATAAATATTTTTGGAGATGGATATGCTAATTAGCCTAATTTGATCATCACACAGTGTATATATATATATGTATCAGAATATTACTCTGTACTCCATAAATATGTATAGTTATTATGAGTCAGTTAAAAAATAAAAGGGCTGGCCAGTTAACTCAGTTGGTTAGAGTGTGGCCTTGTAACACCAAGGTCAAGGGTTTGGTTCCCCATACTGGCAAGCCACCAGAAAAAAAAAAAAAAATAGAAAGAAAAAATAAAATAGTGCAGGGAAAGTCATGACTAAGTGTTAGCCTATAGATGTTATAACAATGTACAGCCACAAAGAATGGTCTTAGGTTTGGATTGATAATCAAACTGATGGTAGCTTAAACCTGCATTAAATTTACTTAGCTTCATGAAAAGATACAGGGCAAGAAACATAGCAGCCACATCTTCATTATTCTCCTGAAGAGGCTTGGCACTAGCCCAAGGCAGTTTCCAGGCCCTAAGGACATAGAGACCAAGTTTGATTGTTAGAGATGAGAATGAATTGGGGGCAAATCACTTCATAATGGGGAAGCAACTGCCTTTATTTTTCCATATCTTTCCCCACTCCAATATTTTGTTATGAAGAATTTCAAATATGCAGAAGTTCAAAGAATTGCGAAATGAATACAACACCTAAAGCCTATAGCTAACATTTTATTATGTTTGCTTTATGTCATATCTATCCCTTTATCCATATATTAATCCATCTTTTTTTTTTTTTTTTGGAACCATCTTTTGTTTTGATGCACTTCAGAATAAGTTGCAGATCTCAGTACAGTTCACTCTAAATACTTCAGCATGCATATCATTAAATAGAATTCAATATTGCTTTTTTTTGAGGTAAAATTGACGTGCAGTGAAATGCACAAATTTTAGGTTTGCCATATGATGCATTTAGCAGTTTTACAAATACTTATTAGGCATTCATATATCTTCCTTTTTGATGTGTCTGTTCAAAGTTTTGGCCCATTTTTATTGGGTACTTATATTATGAGTTGTGGGAGCTCTTTATATATTCAGGATACTAGTCCTTTGTCATATATTTGCTTTGTGAATATTTTCTTCCTGTTTGGAGCTTGCCTATTCATTTTCTTAATGTCTTTTGTTAAGCAGAAGTTTTAAAATTTTGATGAAGTCTAGTTTTTCAGCTTTTCTGTTTTATGTTTTTTGTTCTCTGTGTGCTCAAAGAAATCCTTGTTGATTATCTCCAAGTTCTGGAGCTATTGTACATTTTCTTCTAGAAACTTACAACTTTTTTTTTTTTCTTTTTGTCTTTTTTCGTGACCGGCAACGGATCGCAACCCTCGGTGTTGCTCCCGCACCTCGCTCAGCCAGTGAGCGGCCGGTCTGTATGTGGGATCCGAACCCTCGGCGGGAGCGCCGCTGCGCTTCCCAAGTGGCGCACTGTAGCAGTGCGCCACCGGGCCGGCCCAAACTTACAGCTTTAGATTTAAGTTTAGGTAATTTTTTTTGTTATAGTATGAGCTAGGGATTGAGGTTCTTTTTTTCTTTCTTTTTTTAAAATTTAAAAAATTTGGATATTCAGTTGTACCAGCACTGTTTGTTGAAAAGATTTTCCTTTCTTCATGGAATTGCTTTGATCTCTTTGTCAAAAACCAATTGTGGGTCTATTTCTGGGCACTCTGTTCTGCTCCATTGAACTCTTTGTTGATCCTCATGCTAATACCTGTGCTGTGCTGCTCACTAATGTGGCTTTATAGTAAGTCTTAAAAGTCAGGTAGTGTTAGATCCTCAAATTTTATTCTTTTTTTTCCCTTGAGATTGCTTTGCCTATTCCAGGTCTTTTGCATTTTCTTATAAATATTAGAATCAGTTTATCAATTTTTTTTTTTTAAAGATGACCGGTAAGGGGATCTTAACCCTTGACTTGGTGTTGTCAGCACCACACTCATCCAGTGAGCTAACCGGCCATCCCTATATGGAATCTGAACCCATGGCCTTGGTGTTATCAGCACCGCACTCTCCCAAGTGAGCCACAGGCTGGCCCAGTTTATCAATTTTTACAATGGGATTTTGATGGAATTGCTTCAAATTTTTATATCAGTTTGGGGGAGTAGTAACATCCTAACTTTATTGTGTTTTCTAGTCCATCAAAACCATATATCTCTTCATTTATATAGATCTTTCCCTTAAGAACCTACTGTAGTTTTGGGTGTACATTTCTGGCACATATTTTGTTAAACTGATCTCTCAGTATTTCATGTTTTTTGATGTTAGTATAATTGGAATTATAGTATTTAAAACATTTTTAATAAGCTTTTTATTTTAGAGTAGTTTTAGATTTATAGAAAAATTTTGAGGATAGCACAGAGAGTTCCCATATATTCCATATCCAGTTTCCCCTATTTTTTCATTTTTTTGGTGGCTGGCCAGTAAGGGGATCTAAACACTTGACCTTGGTGTTATAACACTGTGCCCTGTTTCCCCTATTATTAACATTTTATATTAGTATGGTACTTTTGTCATAATTAATATACCAGTTTTGAAACCTTACTATTAATGTTATTATTAAAGTCCATACTTTATTTATATGTCGTTAGTTTTTATTAATTGTCCTTTTTCAGTTCCAAGATCCCATCTAGGATATCATTTTACATTTAGTTGTCATGTCTCTGAGGAGGTACTGGTCAGGTATTT